CAACGATATGGCTGTCTTCCACAAAGAAGCTTTCCACTCAGACGCATTTTTATTCAGGGGCTTTTTTTGCATTTTTCGTGTCGAGAAGTGACTGACAAACATTTCGTTTTGCCTTACCCACTTTTCGGGACCTTGCACCCTGTTAAAATTCGATTTTAAATGAATGCGTACTTTTTCCTTTCGAAAACTCTCCAATGTGTGCACTTTACTTGTAGCAGCAACAAAATGTGTCCTGAGTCCTGCGAAATTCTCTCGAAGAACGCTTTCGTTCGGCATGAAGCGAAGGCCAAGGTGGCACCCCTTATTCACGGAGACTGGATGCGCAGCCTTCAGTACACTGAAGTTACGGCTCGTCTGCCGATCAGGCCTTTCGTTCCGGAGCGACTTGCACGCCGCTTCAATGGCCGGTGGCTTCAAGGTCACCTGATAAGCCACACCCTCATGCTTTCACAATGACCATAAATAACCTTGCTAGGGGTGGTCCTCTGCTACAACTCTGACTGCAGTCTCGCTGGCGTAGCATAGCTGGAAGCCCGTCACTCGGCGGCAGGTGCTTAACACGGCACCGTGGCCATCAAACCGTGACGCCAGACCTGCGCTGGGTTACAGATGTTCCAAAGTTCGGCTGAGTTAGTCGTATGGCGAGACCGCCCCTACCGTGGCAAGTATCCGCCGACGCAGGAACTTGGAATGCTTCGCCGGCACTTTATACATGAGTTGAAAGACTTAACTGACATCTCTAGCGCTGTCAACCAAGGGAATCAAATTCGCGCTAGATATTGACTTGACCTTGCCTCGGTTTTGCCATGCAGGATGGTGTTCTCGCGCTTGCGCTCGGATAGCCGCCTAGTCGTTTGACCAATATAACCTGCCCCACAGGAGCATGTGAAGGCTTAGATGTACATGTAAGAACGTCCACCAAAATCGGACGGCTGAGAATAAAACCTTATCTAAGTTCAGCGATGTTGCCCATGTAAGCATTCAGGAAGTCAAGTTAGGCGAACGAACGTTTTCAATTAATTAATCATCAGGCAAATACAATAATATAAGGGAGGGTAGACTTAGTAAAAGTTTAAGCAACCAATCCCCTTGATAACTACTGATTGGTTGCTTGAACTTTTGTTAACTCTATCCTCCCATACGTTATTTTATTTGCCTGATGATGAATTAATCGAACACGTTCGTTCGCCTAATTTGAAAACCTTATTTCTTGCATTGCCTTTTCCAGGGTATCCAGCAAGCGAATTTCTACAGCTTCGCTTGAACGCTGCAATCGTACGCACGTATCCAGCAGCTATGTTAAGGTTATTATTTTCAAGCACTCCACTTTTTAGCCTTGAAGGCAAGGATGGACTCCCGTTCCAGACCTCTGCGATGTGTATCTACGCCTTTGCATGCTCTTGTGGGGCAGGTTCTATTGGTCTAACAACCAGGCGGCTATCCAAGCGTATTCGAGAACACCATTCTCACTGGCTAAACAGAGGCGAGGTAAATAAACATCTGGCAAGATTTTGGACAGTGGTCATCGGATAGACGTAAACCAAGCGTTTTGAGTCATGTATTAAGTGCCGGCGAAGCATTCCATGTTTAAAAGACTTCGTAGAGTCCACGGCATGCCGCAGGTACTCGGCGTCCAGAAGTTGGCCTAACTAATAGTCACAAAGCAAGGTTTGTTCCAGATCGCCTCTCAGCTCTTGAGAGAGGTGCTTTATTTTGCACACAATTCCAACCTATTCAGCAAAAAGTCCTCCATTCACACAACCTTCACAACACCGGAAGATTACAAACTATGCATAGTGCTCAAAGACTACAAATATCGACGCCATGAGGAGTTGACCTCGAATAACTCGCAAAAGGTAGGCCAAATTGGAATTCAGGTGAACATCGCTGACAAAGATAAGGGAGGCTCGAGTGACCATTTCTGGCTGAGTAAGTGTCATCAGCCAGTCATACCCAATCCCAGGTGGTGCTCCACCCTAGGCTTGTGAACCCATGACTTGGTGATCAGAAGTCCAGCGCTCCAACCATTGAGCCACGGGCTCGTTTGCTTGCAGGTTTACATCGGGAGAATTTACATTCCTTGATGAACGCCCACCGATCGCCAATGAAACTCCCTCGTCCCGTTCTACCTGGGAGCTAACTCTCGCGCTCCACAGCCCAGCGGATAGAAGTGAAGGTAGGTCTCCGACAAAGGCGAAGAGGGCCGAAAAATGGCGGCTCACTTTCAAAGGTCCGCCAGTGGAGGATACTCC